AGAAAAAAGAGAAAAAAAAAAAAGGAGAATGAAAAAACTGTCACTGGAGTGTCAAAATGTGCAAACTAAACTAATTTTGAAAACACTCCTGTTCAATTTTTCATAATTTACATCCCATAATTTTTCTCAACTTTTTTTTCCTTTCCCTCAGACTCTCCCGGATGTTTTCTTTATTTTTATTTTTTTACGTTTATCATTTACATCTGTTTTTTTTTTTATGATTTGAGTTTCAATATTTTATTTTTGCAACTGGGCTTGAAATTCGCGATGCTTGTGCTTTCACATTGATAATGGAAATGCTCGTAAAAAAAAAAAAAAAAAAAAAAAAACTGCTTTGCTTTCAAGGTACATTATAATCTAGAAATGAAAAAAAAAAAAAAAAAAAACTACTTTGAAGTGGCCAACATTGAATTCACAATCTTTCAAAAATTTTCAGAAGTGCAAAACATTTAGGGCGTACTCACACTAGCTCTATCTGGAATGTGTCTAACTAACCGCATTCACGGGCAGACCTGGACGAATCTGACCGCAATCACGTCCAAAAACAAGTCAAAGAGTCATAGTGGGGAGTATGCCCTTAGTTCATCCAGACATGAATCCGTATCTCCGCCATCCAAATCGACTAACACCAGACTGTCCTCAGGGCTATACTGATGGTCGTCCAGGTGGCTGTCGGGATGGCTGTCCAGGTGGCTGTCCAAGTAAGTGGGCTGTCCGGGTAGTTGCCCAAGTCGAGCCATCCACGTGGCTGTCCAGGCGCCGGCTGTGCACGTGGATATCCAGATGGCCGTCCACGTGGCTATTAGGTCGATGTCCACATGACCACCCACGTAGCTGTCCAGATGGCCACCAATATGGCCGTCGGGACTCGGGATGGCTCTCTGCGTGGCTATGCAGGTGGCTGTCCAAGTAAGAGGCTGTCCAGGTGATCGCCCAAGTTGAGCCATCCACGTGGCTGTCCAGGTGGCTGTCCACATGACCTCTCATGTGGCTGTCCAGATGGCCATCCAGGTAGAACACACGGGATAGAATAAGAAGAGCCGTCAGCAAAAAAAAAAAAAAAAAAAAAAAAAAAAACTTTCAGCATTCCCACCTGAAAAGCAGCAGAGAAAATGAATTTTAAACCACCAGTCCATTGGAGGCTAAATTGTCGAACCAGAAAGTGCATTTGTCCGAGCCTGACATCTACAGGGACCGCAGATTCAACCACGCGGGACATGGTACCGGTACCAGCAACATGTGTGACAAAAAGGAAAGGCAGGCAGGCAGCCCTCATCATTGCAGCCTGCCTGTCCGTTTTGTTTGGATTTTTTTTTTCGAATTTTCTGTTTGTCTGCTTTTTTTTGTGGGGTTGCATTGCTTTTTCTTTGCTTTTACAGGGCCACGTTCTTGAGGTATCATCATTGGAAAAGAAAAAACAAAAAAAAAACGTGGTATCATCAGTGAGAGCAACACGAATTTCCGAATTATGTCTATGGGATCTGGATTCGAACTTACGGCTGTATTTCAAGAGTTCTTCGGTGTACCAACTGAGGGCATACTCGAACTTTTGTTCTACTACACTCTGGACGCGATCGCAGTCAGATTCATCCAGGTCTGACCGTAATTTCAGTCAGATACATTCCTACTGTGAGTCTGCCCTGATCTATGCCTGTGAGCTCTTTCCTTTGCTTTGTTTCGAATGCAGCTGTCCACCCTGCTGAGCTGGCATGCAGTTTATTTTGTTTTATTTTTCTGTTGATATTCTTTTTCCTTCCTTTTTCTTTCGAAAGGGCCACGGCCTTGAGGTGTCATGATTGCACTTCCCTAGCCAAAACGCCGAGAAAGTCAAGAAATAATCTGACGGCAGATGGACTCGAACTCCGGTCTGCATTTCAACATTTCTTGGGTGTACCAACTGAGGAACAGCAGTCCGCCCTGCTGAGCGGGGAGGGCGGTTTTCACGGGAAACGACGAGGCATCCAAAAGCTTGCAGAGTGTGCCTCGTGCGGTGTGGCTGTCACACAGTGGCACTCTCTTTCAGATGTGGGCCCGCCAGCCCCACCCCCACCAAGCCTCCTCCATGCCTGATCACTGTAGATTTCGGTCTGGTACTTGTCGACAAAAAAAATGAACAGTACAGGGGGTGATGGACTGGTGGTTCAAGGAAACAAAACCAGACAAAGCAAAACAACTAGAAAGAAGAAAAAGAAAGGAAAACACATGTGGAAGGAAAAATACAAGCAAAAAAACAAAAACAAAAAGAGAACAAGCGAAGCAGACGGGAAAAAAAAAAAAAAAAGAAACACTGAAAATTAAAAGACAAGCCTCGCAAATGGCTGTTGGCTCTCAGTGGTTACAGCACCGGTTGGAAATGCGCATTGTGGTATGAGGTTGTAAGTTCAAAACTCCGCTGTCTTGCAAATGTACACCGATAAGCGCTTTCATAGCGCACAAGCCATTTGCACACTCCGCTTGGGACACGCATGGTAAGATAAGATTTGTACAGACACTGCCTGCGCACCGCCCAAGGGGTCTAGGTCCATGGTTGTAGTATGCTGGATAGGGCCACAGGGAGGGCTGCTTGAGTGCTTGGTCTTCGGGGGTCTGACGATCAGGGTCTAATCTTGGCTCCACCATGGGCCAGGGGGTGAGGGCAGGGGTATAGATTGGGGCGGGGCGGGAGAGGGATAGGTTAGGGTAGATTAAAGGGGATGGTTTACTGCTGAGAGCGTCGGCAACCAAGAACTGCTGAACCTGTCGCAACCATCGATACGACTGCATGGCCACTTGGACCCTCCGATCTGTCAGTCTCGTCAGTGTGTACTAGTCCGTGGGGGTGCTATGGTCAAGCCTGGTTACAGCTCATATGTTTCCCGTCACTATGGCACCTGTACGACAGTCCACATAGAGCGAACTAAGGCTACAGTAGGGCACATGTGGTTAACGGGGACCCCCCAGTTTCAGCTCCTGGGTAACAGGTCCAAAACTGAAATAGGCTTTGGGGGTGAAATTTATGGGGCAGGGACTGGGTACTTCTCATCCCACAGGTATCTCGGGATGCATGTGGGTGGTGCTTCATCCAGGCTGGGGTCCGTGGGAATTCTCATATTGGGGGAATTAGTTGGACTGTGGATTCTTTGCGAGCCTTGGGTAGGAAGGCATCATGCTTAGGATAGGGAAAGGGCGGAATATCGCATCGTAGTGGAAGGACGGTTTGCTGCCCATAGAGTCTGCGGGATGAGGCACACATGGGGGATGACTGCATGTGCATAGACCCCACCTGTGCCTGGGTCGTCCTTAACATTAGAGTTAGGGTACCGTCGGCATGAAGATGTTCGGGTTGGTCCGGTAAACGTTGGTGCAGATCACAACTTGTGATCTGAGCATTAAGGTCATGGTACCATGGGTGCCATCTTGAGGTGGCTCCCCTGGGTCCCTCGCAATCCATCTGACCTCTCAATGGCTGAGTACTACGGGCACCTCCTGAGGCCTGGCCACCATCCTCTACTACACCCTGGACCTTCTTTTGAAAAAAAAAAAAAAGACAAGCCTCGGGAGCTTTCCTCTGGATAGTAGACGTAGAGCTCACAAAAATATCACAAAAATAAAAAAAATAGTAAAATACCCTCCCCCCCAAAAAAATACAAAAAAATGCAACAGAAGCTTGCAAACAGCTGTTCCCAACAAGCGAAGCAGATGGGAAAAAAAAAAAAAAAAAAAAAAAAAAAAAAAAAAAAAAAACCCCCCCCCCCAAAAAAAAAAAAAAAAAAACAAAAAAAAGCTTAAAAAAA